TGTCCATCAACTGAGGAATGGATAACCAAACTATGGTACATACACACAATGGAATACTATGCAACCCTAAAGAATAACCTAGAATCTTTAAAACACCGCGTAACGTAGATGAACTTGGAGGACATTATGCTGAGTGAAATAAGTCCATCACAGAAAGACAAATGTTGTATTAGTCCATTATTGTAAAAGTCAAGGAAAGGTTTATCTATGTAAGGAAATTTTCTTTGTTGGTTACCATGGGTGGGAGGGGAGGGGAGGGAACACTGTTAGATAGGTAGAGATAAGCATTGATTTGGGTGAAGAGAAGGGCAGTGTACCAAATGTGAGTGATGAGCATGGTGGCATTGAGGAAGAGGAAGACATAGAGAGCTACATGGGAGGTACAAACAACAAAGATGAACCCTTTTGCACACACAGTACTGCATTGTCAGTGAAGGCAAACATGGGTGTACGGGTGGATAGATGGCTGGACAGGCTGAACTATTAGGTAGGTCTATGAAGTTGGGAGTGTATCCAAGAACATGTATAGGGTTGGCAGACAATAGTCCTATAAGTTTATGTGAATGATCAGAATTCCCAGGTGTATAGTAGAGCTGACAAGGGGCAAGGTTGTAGTCACTGCTTGGCCATTGCCAGCTATCCAGAGGGATCGAGTAGTGGAACCTGTGGGCTCGGGACCATAATTGCAGGGAACATCAAGCTCAATTGGCATAACATACTATACAAAACATTGTTCCACCTCCTACATTGGTGAGTAGCGAATGGGATCTTAAAAAAGCTTGCAAGCTGCCATCTAGATTCAGCGATGGGTCTCTCCTTGTCAAGAGCCAAGAAAAATGAAGATAACCAAAAATTCATGGAAACAATTAGTCCTAGTGACTGGTACACCATGCCATCCACATTCTATATGACTATGAGACGAGAAGAATTAGATGGTGCCTGGCTACCAATGTCAACCACTTGGAGGGGGATCTATGTAGGAGATCCTGGATAGAGAGGGAGAACCATGTGGAACAAAACTCAAAATCATTTGGGAAAAAGAAAAAAAGGGGGGGCAAAGTTTGCTGGTCTGATAGAGCCTTGTGGAACCCCTTAGACTATGGCCTCTAGCTGCCCTTCAGCTCTGGATTTGAACCCACACCTGTGGCTTCCAGCCAAACAAAAGACAGGCATATGAGTTGAACATTTACCTAAGGTAGATACACTCCTTGGAGAGAACAATCATGGGAGAGAGATGGGCTGTTTATGCACAGGGAGACAGCTCAGGGGGCAGGAGTGTATGGAGGGATAGAGACAGGGAAGAGGTAACTATTGGGAGGAAGTGGGAGGAGAGCTGTTGCATTGTGGTAAATTGTCATGAGGCAGTGTATGTGAACTGCTGTATGGAAAGTGAATTTGCTCTGTAAATTTTCACCCAAATCACAATTAAAAAAAAAAAATATATATATATATATATATATTTATCATGGCTTGGGTCAGGCACATTTTAATCTTCAGTGACATCTTTGCTTTTGAATTTTTTAAAGAGATCTTTTGCAGCAGAGTTGCCCAGTGCACTACATTATCTGATTTCTTGACTGCTGCTTCCATGGGCATTGCTTGTGGATCCAAGTAAAGTAAAATCCCTGACAGCTTCAGTGTTTTCTCCAGTTATCTTGATGTTGCTTATTGAGCCAGTTGTGAAGATTTTTGTTTTCTGTGTTCATGTATGGGAGCTTTGGTGGCGTAGTGCCTAAGGCATTTGACTGTTAAGCAGAAGGCTGGTGGTTCAAACCCACCAGCCACTCCTCAGAAGGAAGACTGGGCAATCTACTTCCATAGAGATGCAGCCTTGGAAACCCAAGGGGAGGTTGCTATGAGTTGGAATCGGCTCAGTGGGATTGAGTTTGGTTTGTGTTTTGGTATGTTGAGGTGTAATCCATACTATTGTAGTCTTTGATCTTCATCAATCAGTGCCTCAAGTCATCTTCACTTTCAGGAAGTAAGGTTGTGTCATCTGCATATCACAGGTTGTTGATCAGTCTTCCTCTGATCCAGATTCCGCATTTTTCTTCATATAGTCCAGCCTTTCAGATTACTTGCTCAGCATACAGACTGAATAAGTATGGTGAAAGTCTACAACCCTGATGAATACTTTTCCTGCCTTTAAACTATGCAGTATTCCCTTGTGTTGAAATGACTGCCTCTTGGACTGTGTACAGGTTACTCATGAACACAGAACCTTATCGTCTTAGTGGGAATATCATTGAAAAAGCATTTTTCTGGCATGTGGAGGTATAGAGACCTCCTAGTTAACAGTGGTTTTCCTTATCAGTAATCTGACATGTTATTAGTATAAAAGTACTGTATACTAGTTAATTGAGAAGTCATTGGGATTCTGTAACTCATTAGTTCTTAATATATGTACTAGTGATACTGGGTCTTATTAAAGAATATACCATAATCCTTTCCTTTTTCCTTTAGATCCACAGCGAAGACTGCAAAGGTACTTCATCTTATGCATGATTCCACCTTTTTTCCTGGTGAAATTTTGATGGATTTGACCCTTTGTGGCCAGCAACTCCTGGGCAGGAGAAATGGCAACAATCAGACTGAAGCTTGGAAGGCATAATTTTCATCCATTAAAGAGGAGCATTTTTTTGCTATTGAAACTCATAGCTGTTATCTTTGCTATGCTTCTATTTTGTGAGTTTTTAATCTATTACTTAGTGATCTTCCAGTGTAACTGGCCTGAGGTAAAAACCTCAGCCTATGACGGGGATCAGGGAACTCCTGAGCCCATGCTGAAAGCTATGTTCTTGGCGGATACTCACTTGCTTGGGGAAGTGAAAGGCCACTGGCTGGACAAGTTAAGAAGGTAGGAGCTGTAAAGCCAGGAATCCTCTTACAGATCAGCTCAATGGCTTCAGGGACTCATTATTTATTTTCCTCTCAAAGAAGGACATTTGGGATATTTGATTTTTCCTTGAGCTTAACTATTTAAATTGAGTAGCTTTGTGACTCTGGATAACCCACTAGGGCCCCTCTGAGCCTCTGCCTCTCTTGAAACTGGGTTCATACCACCAGCTTTACAGGCTTGTGTGGGGCTCCCCTCCCTTGGTTAGAGGCTGATGACCCTTCTCACTTCTCACTGGGCTGCAGTTTTGAACCCACTTGTTTTTGCCCTCTGAGTGGGAGAGAGAGCAGAAGGAGACTGTGCTGGGGATGGTCAGGTCCTATTTCTCCACCCTAGCCCTACCTAGCATGTTGTTGCAGTGGAGTTGATCCGACGCACAGTGACCCATGTGGCAGAGTAGAACTGCCTCATAAGGTTTTCTAGGCTGTAATTTTGATGAGAGCAGTTTGCTAGGTCTTTTATCCCACCGTGTTGCTGGGTAGGTTTGAACCATCAGCCTTTTGTTTAGCAGCCCTATTTGTATGCCTTAGTACATAACATTCCCCTTTGTAGGGGATAAGCAACCAGGAGTATGCCCTGAGAAGGATGACACAGTTGGGGCCATGAGAAGGACATGGATTATGCTAGGTAGGGGTGGAGGGCAGTGGCATCTTAAACACCTTTTGTGTATTGGTAGTACACCAGGCACCTTACCATTGCTGTCATCCTTGATTCCATAATTGTCCTGTGAATATGGAGAGGGCAGGCAGCTTTCTCAAGGCCACAAAATTGCTCATGAGTGGAGCTGGGGCTTTAAACTGTTGGCCTGGCAGATTCTAGATTTTGGGCTCTTTTCATTTGTTTGTGTTACTTTTGGGGTGACCACTGGTGCATGTGAAATCAAGGGGCTTTACTGTTTGGGGATTGGCAATTTTTTTCATCAACTCACTGAACTCTGAATTGAGGGAGGAAGTTGGGGCTCCTTCTAGAAGTGAGAGTTCAGCTAGATCCTCCTCTGCTCTGTGTGACACAATGTCAATCTAAACTGGGTGTTTTTTGGATTCACATTACACACACTAAGACCACTAGGGCTCTCCTGAGTGCATGGTGGCTGCAGGGCCGTGTGGGATGAAGTTAGTGTGGAGTGGGAGGATCCCCACCAACTCCTTTGGGGCCTTTGTCTCCACATTTAATCAGACCCAGAGTCTTTGGCCCTTCAGAGCATAGAGGGAATGGAAGGGCAGGACATAGACCATTAAGTGTACTTTTTAAATGGCCCCTAAGACAGATAGATGTGGGAATTCCTGCTTGTCCTCAAAAATTAAGTGCTTGACTACTAGCTGAAAAGTTGGTAGTTTGAAAGCACCCAAACGCATCTAGAAGAAAGAGTCTGGTGATATGCTTCCTTTTGAAAACCAGTATGGAGTACAATTCGACTTGGCACATGTGGTTCATCATGAGTTGGAATCAACTCAACAGCGATTGGTTTGGTTTTGGTTTTTAAGATAGGTGTAGGCTCCACCCAAGAAACAAACTGAATCCTTGTTTTTTATTATTTGCCTCAAGGGAATGGCAAATGGAGAGGGCCTTCCAGACAGCTCTGTGGTTGTTGCAGCCTGAAGTGGTCTTTATTCTGGGGGATATCTTTGATGAAGGAAAGTGGAGCTCTTCCCAGGTAGGACCCTGAGGTGTCAGCATCCAACACCCAATCCTATTCCTACAGACCAGCACAGACACTGGAGAATCCATAAAACAGCATCAGCTCATACAGGAAGTTTTTCTTAGTACTGATAGTACTAACGGATAGTCTGCCTCAAAGACTTCTAGGACTTGTGTCTAATGCTACTCTTGAGTTAGGTTGGCTAACCTCATATTTGTGTATGTAAGAAATATGTTGATTAGCCAGACATCATTGGGATGTTAGAATGCATTGTCCTGTGAAACTCTTGGGGATGAGAAAAACAGTCGTGATAGATGCTATTTCAGTTGTCACCAAAATGACAGAAGCGCACATTTAAGTTCACACTCCTATGTTTTAACATTAAATTATGAAAATTGTGCTGCAAAAGTTACTTACTTATTTTCTGTCTTTCTTTTGAGTGAGAGGCTTTTTGTGAAATTTCTCTGCTTTAAAGAGGCTGACACCCCTGACTGGGTATTATTGTGATAAAGCCAGTCCACAAACCAGAGAAAAGGTGGTTCTCACCTTAGCTATCAGGAATGCTTTGCTTATTACTTTCTCAGAATGATTTTTAAAAAGAGCTATTCTTGCTGCTTAGGTAAAAATGTTCAGCCTCTCATGGTTTAGGGAAGGGATTTTTTTTTTTTTTTGTGGGGGTGGAGTGGGGAAAGGGGGTATTTTTAAAAATTCAGTGGTACTTCCCAGAACAGTCTAAAGCTGTACTAATAAAGTCTTGATCCATGTATGATAGGAACCTAATGTTTATAAGGTTGCAATGTTTGTTAAAATCTAGGCTATAATTAAATATGAGGTAATAGAAATCCTATATATAAGCAGTAATTGCTTGTAAAATGAAGTTGGATGCTTATATTACTTTTGTAAAATAAAGGCTTTTCTGACTCCATGGTATTGTAATTTTAAACACTGTTTGTTAAAGTGAAATTTTTAGGTATACATAGAAGGACTTTCTACCTAGAATATTTTCCTAGGTTGGGTCATATTTAAAACTTTTAGGATAAAGTTAGTGTGCATAATAGAGATTGACTGCCTACCCTGGGTGCTTGTCTAATTGTTATTTTTAGGCTTAATAAAATAAAAATTATACTTACATCATTCTCAAACTTTTAATAGTTAAAGACAGTGTCAGAAAAATCTTGAAATATTTATTGAATTTCCTTATTATCCTTTGTTTCTCCTACATCTCAGCAGTTCTCATTCCCACAGTTGTAGTCACAGGGAAATGTGATGCTAAAGGATGGTCTCACTTTATCTTGGTCTTGACACAAGGATGACTTTACTTGGCATTTTTTTTTTTTTTTT